TTTGGGAGTTGAAGTCCTCCAGGCTTAACGTTACCAAGGTTGGACACCCCTGGTCTACAGCATCTCAGGGTCTATTCTAGGGGACGTGCTTAAGTGCACCATCGTGCCTCCCGTCCCTGTCCTATTGTCCCCATTTATTCGTACCTATTTCCTGTATTCTTGCTCATGTTTATACTTACACCTATTATCTTGTAAGTGATTGACAAATCAAATAAATAAATAAATATTTGAAAAACTATCGTGTTTCTCACAAAGTAAGGCCAGGTCTTATTTTTTTTGAGCCCCGAAAAAACGGCTAGGCTGCCTTTCTGGGGTTGAATTAATTTCCTCCCCCCACACGTACCCCCACCAAGAGCACCCCACGTGCACTCACCTCGCCACGAGGCCGCTTCTATCGGCTGAGGGCAAAGTCACCAGCCGCTTCTATCGGCTGATAGAAGTGGCCTTGTGGAGCACCCCGTGAATAGCCACTCCTCACCACGAGGCCGCTTTTATCGGCCAATAGAAGCGGCTGGTGACTCTGCCTTCGGAGCACTTCTATCGGCGGATAGAAGCGGCCTCGTGGCGAGGCGATTCTGCCTACGGGACACTTTTATCGGCCGATAGAAGTGGCCTTGTGGAGCGCCCCGTGAGCAGCCACGCCTCGCCACAAGCCCGCTTCTGCCGGCCAATAGAAGCGGCTGGTGACTCTGCCTTCGGAGCACTTCTATCAGCCAATGGAAGCGGCCTCGTGGCGAGGCGATTCTGCCCGCGGGACACTTTTATTGGCCGATAGAGGCAAGTCTGCCTGCGGGGTGCTCTAGCTGAGGTTACCTGCGGGGGGCTCCTAAAGGCAAGTTTCCCCCTCCCCGCCCTTCCCCCCCATTTCTCTTCACCTTGTATAGTTCAAGCGATGTGAGAAATGATGGGGAACGCATGGTTTAAATAGGCCTAAATTTGGGGGGAGGGGCTTAATTTTACCTTATGCCTAGAAAACATGCTGGGCCTTCCCATGGCGGGGAGGGCGTATTGTCGGAGAAAGATGGTATTTTGCTCCTTGGAAACCCTCCATCTGCTCTGCAAGGTCTCTGGCGCATGTTTTATTACAGAGAGGATGAATTCAGCCTTACAACAATGTAATTGATGAACATTCCTACCCTAAGAGGGCAACTGTACTGAAAATGACTTTTGATCTTGCCCCACAGATGTTTCTTTCACTCTGCCAGAGGAGCAGAAGGTCTTCAAGGATTGCGCAGCTGCATACAAAGCGGGGTTTTCTACCAGTGGAGTCTACAACCTTCGGCTCCCCAATACTACAGCCACTGTAAAAGTGAGTGTATGCATGTACCAATGAGCTTTGTCCTTCTAGACGGGCAGGGTTCACACATCAGACTAGGCCACAGTATTCTTAAGCACAATTGGTTGAATGCATTCTTATATACAGATAGTCCTTGACTTATCACCATTCATTTAGCAATCATTCAAAGTTATAACAGCACTGAAAAAAAGCGGCTCATGATTGGTCCTTGCGCTTACAACCATCTCAGCCTTCCAATGGTCATGTGATCAAAATTCAGGCACTTGGCAACTGACATGAACTTACATCAGTTGCAGTGTGCTGAGGTCATGTGATTACCACTTGGGATCTTCTGGCAAGCAAGGTCAATGGGAGAAGCCAGATTCACCTACCAAGTAGTCATTCACTTAACAGCCAAGGCAAAAAAGATTGTAAAATTGGTCACCATTGACTTAACAATTGCCTCACTTAGCAACAGAAATCCTGATCCCAACTATAGTCATAAGTTGAGGTCTGTAATGACCCAGAATATAACACAAACGTAACAAAATCCAAAACGTAAATAAATGTCCCTTAATGCCTCCAACTTGCCCCCCCTCCCCCCCCGGTTCAACAATTCTCAGTTGGAGATAAAACATACTCAAAAATAGTCTTCAAAAGAAAGCAAGACAGTCCAAACTTAATGAGCATATAGAGGTGAAATAAAAAAACCAAAAAAACTACAATGACGAAATTTCCACAATGGACCAGAATAAGTAATTACCAAATTCAAGGAGATAACAAGGCACAGTATGTATAGTCTCTCTTATATACTAATCTCCCCAGCTGCAACCAATGAGGGGGATCATGGCCACTTCCTCTCTCGTAAGCCAAGTTGTTTCCTTCTCCTTTCCTCCCTGCGTGTCCTAGGATGCAGAGGGGATGGGCCTGGTTCTTCCTCTGACTGCCCAGCTGGCCTCTGCCCTTCCCCAGCCTCCTTCACAACCTCCGGAGCCACACCTCCACTCCCTGTTGGCTGTTCCTCCTCTCCCTCACAGTCCAACTCTACCAAGGGCATGACAGATCTACCTATAAAGCTAACTTACAATGGCTGTGCCCACATGTCACATTAAGCCTTTATGTGATCTGTTTAATGTTGGCTTTATGCGAAGAATGAAACCAGGCATAAACCAAGATTTAATTTGGTCCATAGTTTATGTTGCTTCACTTATAACCATTAAGTATAAACATCATATTTAGGTTTTAGATAATGTATAGATCTACTCATTATATAAAGCAATAATAGGCAAAACAAGCCCATGAACAATTATATAATTGGTATAATCAATTATAGGAATAATAAGTAATTGAATAGCATTAAAAGCTTCCAAATATGAAATAAGTTTCATCTACAAAAAAACAAATTCCATAACTTGAGCACTACCACTAAGACCTATACCTGTTTCTGATCCTCCCAAGAATGATGCTAGCACATAACTTAGTCAATTGAAAGGAAAAAGGAGATCGTACTTTACATTTAAAGACTAAAATGTCTTTAAATTAAAGATAGTATTATTATTTTTAAATTAAATCTAGAAGAAAACGGATAGCGGAGTTGTGCTCAACCAGTTGTTTCTTATAATTTGAGGGAACTGCTCCTCCATCGATGTTCTGCCATTCTTCCAGGTGCTGTGTGACATGGAGACAAGTGGAGGAGGCTGGACCGTTATCCAACACCGGAAAGATGGTTCTGTGGATTTCCAACGCACCTGGAAGGAATACAAACAGGTAACAATTTATATAAGTCTCCCCGGCTTAACGTGATGGAGTAACTCAGAATGAATTGGATCCAGACTGATTATTTTGCACATGGAAAATGAGATGATTTGGAGAAAATGGAGTAAGAAGCATTCTTTCTGTTTTCTACGTGCAAGCAGAAAAATCCATCATTTGAACTTCTACTACTGCAATCAGTAGGAATAGAGCTCAGTCACAACAAGTGCTGGACTTCTGTTCAGTTTCTGCTGAAACGGGTCAAAGCTTTTGTGACTCTGAGCCAGGCTGGTTCTAGGCTGGCACTTAAGCCACCAGGTTTTCTTTAGCTTGTGGCACAGAGATCTTGCAGACTCCAACTTCCAGTGCCTCTTACAAACTTTAACCATGTTGTCTGGCAAACCTATCCAGCAACATCTGGAAACCTGTTCTGATCAAGGCTTCCTGAGACACCCACAAACACACATAAAATCCCAAACTCTTTTATTTTAGTTCAATGGCTGTGAATGATCGAAATGAGCTTCAACCAGTTATAAATAGTCCCAGGAATGTCTGCCAAAGGTCTGTGGAAGAATGCTGATAAGAATGCACCTTGGTGCTGCCAACGACTAAAGTCCCAATTAGTCTTTCAAAACCAAAACAGAGAACAAATTAAACATGGAGCTTTCAGAGTCCAAACCGATCAGAGCGAACAACGTTGCTTCCTGCAAAGGTTTTCCTACCTTTGCACTTCCTTTATACCTTAGGGGAGGACCAATCACCTCCAAGCCTTACTCCCAAGTCACTCCTTTTGTCTTAGCTGCTCTTGCCTTCTGGCAGCTCTGCGCATAAGCACACTGGGAACAGGCTCCCCTTGTTCCTCTGCCTCGCTGCTGCCAGATTCTGGAGGCTCTGGAGTCAGCACATAACTCCCGAATGGTCCTGGCCCCATCTCTGCATCGGATGCAGGACCCTCGTCCGAGTCCTCCCCAGACTCCTGGACTGGTCCCTGTTCTTCCCCACTGTCTGATTCTGCTGCTGTCAGCGAACCACAACAAAACCAACCAACTCCTTCTCCCAGTGAAGTCCGCGCTAAATATAATTGAGGTGGCTGCTAGAATGATGACAGACTCCACCACCCTACCCTTCTCTGCTCTCAACCCATTCATCTTTCTGGTTATCAAATTGATGTTCTATTCTCACTGTGTGCCTTTGTCATTATTTTATTGTTCTACTAGCTCGATACCCATGCTTCGCTACAAAACTATGTGGTCGGGCTTATTTTTTGGGGAGGAAAATAAGGGGAGGGAAATTCTTCCTCTGCCTACCAACATCCATCAGTATTCATCTGGCTAGCATCCTGTCAGTGTGTGAGAGAGTTGAGGGCTGTTTAGAAACTGAAACAGTATTTGCTGTGTGAGCAAGAAGGAGACAGCAAAGAGCCAGGGCGTGGCTTAGCTCAACGGTTCTGTACTAAAGCTGGTTGCCGCTGTGAAACTGAAACCGAAACTCCTCTTCTCCACTTGTGTTTTGCATTTGGAACAGATTTCTTTTCTGGAGGGAGGGGATTAGAACTTCTTAGCATCAGAGCGTGTTAATAATAATATAGGAAATACAAATGCTCTGGTGGTCATTTCAAAAAATCCTTACTTAGTGAGCACCTAGAAGCCAAGAGGAACATAATGCGCCAAATTTAAAGTTTGTAGGCTTTGCGGTTCTGGAGATTTTGTGATGATGTGTGAGTGGCATTTCAACTTTTATATATAGAGATTATTTTACTTCTACAGGTAGTCCTCGACTTACGATCATAATTGAGCCCAACATTTCTGTTGCTCAGTGAAACATTTGTTATGTGAACTTTGCCCCATTTTACAACATTTCTTGCCACGGCTGTTAAGTGAATCACTGCGGTTGCTAAGTTAGTAATACGGTCGTTAAGTGAATCTGCCTCCCTGTCTAACTTTGCTTGTCAGAAGGTCTCAAAAGAGAATCACATGAGCCCAGGACGCTGCAACTGTCATAAATATGAGTCAGTTGTCAAGCTTCCATAGGACCATGGAGATGCTGCAACAGTCATAAGTGTGAAAAACGGTCATAAGTCACTTTTAATTTTGAACATTCAATAAAAGAACTGTAAGTTGAGGACTATCCGTATTCCTTTCATTTGTCTTCCTTTTTATTATTATAAACCACCTAGAGCTGCCCCACAGTGAACTAGGTAGCAAATATTTGAAAACTTGGATCCCTTACCTACTTCTTACAAAATAACTGGAATTAGGATACTACAAAATAGAGACTTTGGAAAGTGAAAGTGAAATTTGAAAACAAAAGGAAATTGTGGAAGTGTTTGGGGTTTTTGAACTACAATTTTAATTAATGGATATTGAAAAGTGGAATTAATCTGGAAATCTCTGGAGGAATCAAAAAAGAGTTAAACATTGGAAAAACTTTAATAAACATTGTTTAAAGATGGCAGGAATGTTACTGGACCTTAAACTGGAACTTAAAAACATGAAAGACATGCTACAAAAAGAAGGCAAGTCATTTGGTTTCGCATTGCAATTTTTGGAAGTGGAGGTTTTAAAATATCAAGAACAAGAAGAAGAGAAATCAATGCAAGAAGTGGCCACCTTAAATGAACACTTGAAACAACGGAAACTTAAGCAAAGGAGGAATAGAAAGAGAATTAATAATAGGAGGTTTAACATCATAATTAAAAGGGGGTTTATTCTAAAAACTGAACAAAAGAAAAGGAAACATCAGGAAAGGAAATTTCAAAGTAATGGAAAAGAAGGGGGATAGAAATTGGAGTCATAAAAGGAGGGTAAGAATGAAACGGGATTTGGAAAGAAAGGAATATGGCAAGCACACAAAAATGAAATGGGATTTTTAATTAAAAGGTACAGAGATAATGGTTGACTGAGAAGGGGATTCCACAAGTGTATAAGGACTAGTTTAAATAAATAAGAAGTTTAGAAAATAGTGAAATATAGATTATTAAAATGG